ACAGCCGGGGGCACGGGCCGGCCGCGCAGCGCTCGCCACACAGCGACACTTTCGTTTTCTTTTTTTACGTGCGTGTTTTCTTTTTTATGTGCGCGATCTGAAAGTTTCTTGGGACAGGCGCTGTTCAAAATATGCGCGCGTCTTCTGAGACACGCGCTGATCAAGGTATGCACAGCGCGTCTTTTGAGACAGCAACGCCAATCGGAGATGCCGCGAGCAATCCGGGATGCGTGGAGCAACTAATATGGACTCGCGTATCTTAGGATGCTCGAGCATACCGAGGACAGCGAGCGTCTAAGTAGGAGGCCTACTAGACGCACTCTAATCCAGAGACGCATTTGGTAAACAAAGATGGGGGGGTCGCCCCCCCAGACGTGAGCCGCGCGCAGCGCTCAAAATCCGAATGATCTCAAGCGTCTAGAGGGGAGGGCGGGGGTTCGGGTCGGGGGGCGTTCTTGAGCTCGTGCCACTGCCGTATTGCTAGGTGGGGAGCCGCGCGCTCGAGCGGAGCCCCGCACACAATGCAAAAATCACATCTGCGCCCGGCACCGCCTATCTTGCTATCTACGTACTACGAGCGGCGCGGCGACGCTGCTGCAGCGTGTTGTGTGCACATGCAGCGCGTCGAAACACACCTCTGGCACCGTGAGTTCGACAACGTGCGGCTCCTCTGTTCGGACGGCAGGAGGCCGAACCCTGGGCTCGCTGCTCGCGCGTCGCTCGGCGAGTGGCTCGACGATCTCGGACAATCTCGGCGAGTCTCGGAGCGCCTCTTCGATGCGCGCCATCACGGCCCGGAGCAGCTGCTTCCGGCCCATCCGGAAGTGCAGCGCGTGCCTCCGCCGGAGCAGCGCCTCCGACGCTCCGCCAGCGGGCCGCCCCAACGAGGCGAGGCTGGCGTCGTCCTCCTCCAGAGAGGTCGGCATCGCACGGAGCTTCGCGCGGCACGAGGCCAGGATGGCATTGCACGCGTGGAGAGCGAGGGAGGCGGGCTCATTGGCCTCGGCGCTGGCCGCGTCGCAGCTGCGTCGCGCGGCGGCGCGAGCGGCGGCGAGGAGCCCGTCGAGACGCGCGGCAGAGAGGGTGAGCCGCGCGGGCGCGGCGCCGTCCCGCGTGTGCAGCAGCGCGAGACGCTCTGTGCCGGGTGCGAGCGGCGTGAGCGGCTCCGCGAAGCCGTAGTCGAGGAGCAGCGCTGCGTTGCCGCGTGCCTGGTACTCGAGAGCCACCCCCTCGCCCGCAGCGAGGGGTGCGCCCGCGGCGAAGACGACTGTGCCGTCTCCGGCGACCACCACGGTCGGCCCCGACGCCTCGCGCTCTGCGGGACCACGAGAGCGGTGGTTGCACAAGTCAAACGCTGGGAGGAGCAGCATCCGCTCGGGGCTGCTTGTTGCTTGGTCGGCGATCGTAAGTGCGCGCGAGCGGACGATCGAC